TAACCACACTTCTGGATATGTCCATAATTTATATTTAAATGTACACATGTAACACTGCCTTCTGAGGAGCAATGAAGAACTGTGGGAAGGGAGGAGGAGAGGAAAGAGAAGGAATATTTCATGGCTGCACAGTGGTACATAACAGCAAGCTATTACTTTCCCTTTAGGGCTTCTCATATATTTCAAGGCACTGTGTGTTGTTTGGTTGTTAGCATTCTCGGCCACACTGGCACCGCATTGTACGCAGTCTGAGTAATTCAGCTGGCTTCAATAATGCCATCTATATTTAATGTTTCAGAAGCTGCGAAGATTGGTTTAAGATGGTAATTTTCTGTCTGCACTTTTGAGATCTACGCAGTATGGGCGGTACTGAACTGTCTCTGACAGAGATTCAGCATCGGGTATGGGAATGTGTGAAAGAAACAAAATAAAACACGCACATCCTTCCCCGCCATATAAAAAAATTAGCTATTTGCTTATGTACAGGGAAGATTTGGTCCTCGTGAATGAAGGAAGCTTAACACTGGAGACTTGTTATTTACCATTGCTATACAGAGCAGTTCCAGAACTGCCACTGGAAATAAGCAATCTGTCTTGTGTTTTTTTGCCTCAAATGCGTTGATTGATCTCTGAAGAGACCACCTGTAGGTTAATTCTCTCTCCTTTCCTGTCTCCTCTCTGGAAATGCCAGTAAGAGGGTGTCAGTGATGTCTACCAGTCTGATCTGGACCTACTACAGGGCTTTATCTCTTAGGGGCAACCTGGCAGCCATGACGACAAATTACTTTGATCGCACATAGACCAGCTGAGCTTCCAGACTGGTGCTGGTGGAGCTCTGGGCTGCAGAAGTGTCTTTCTCCAGGATCCTCAGAGCTGCAATGAGCACTGTGAGGTGCTTTTTCTGCTTTCTGACACTGGGATTTTGGCTCAGGCAAAAGACCCCAGCATAAGTTGCAAGGAACTCCCAGAGATCCAAAGCATCACAGGCAGAGGACCGCTGATCTGAAACACAACAGAAGAATGAGCCAGGTACTTTCTGTCTGTGTAACCAAGTCACTCCTTTGCCTGAGGAAACTGAGGAACTGTTGTCTGAATGCCGTGGCTGTGCCACAAAGTTGGGAACATTAAAGGCTTAAAAGGAAATGACCATTGAGATGAGACAAAATTGAAGGAAGGGACACTTAGGTAGCTGTGCTGGGAGTAGCTCTGAGACAAGCCAGCCGGATACGACAGGTGGGAAGCGGGGTAGCAAATGCTGGGTGGGTGCATGGGCACAGGGGGAAATTCTGGCAGAAAGGCTGGATGAGATGGCAAAGTAGGTGGATCGGTATCAGACAGCACAAACATTAAAACCAAGAAGGACAATTTTTTATATTAATTGGTTGTGGTGTGCACTTGCAAGCAACCTGAAGGGCAGAAGAAATATCTATAGGATCAATTTTTAATAAGCATTTATATGAGAAACAAAATAATTCTGAATAATTAAATACCATCATCTTGGCAACATTCATTACAATCTTTATGGAGAGGCCGTCTGTTTATAAGCAGGCGTGACAGCAGACCCTGTTACAAAACTTGCCTCATTCCTGCCAGTATAAGATCCTCTTCCCAATTGCTTCTAATTTTGCCAAACATCACGGTGTTTGTGCTGAAATTTTTCTGGCTGTTTGTCTGTCTTAGGCTGACTTTTTTTTCAGTCAAAGCTATTTCTTCATTTTCCAAAATAGTACTAGAAAGGAAAAAAATGCTGTTTGGCAGGTATAACTCCTTGTCACAGTTTCTTAGTGACGGCATCAACCACTCATGAAAAAGAAATCTCGGAACCTAACCCATGCAGAATGAGCAAGTTCTGCAGCTTTCAGAGATAAATATGAGGGAGAGAAAAAGAAAGAAGGTTAAACTCCCAGGGAATGGCTGCAAGGTTTAAACAATGCTGACATCTTTGGAGGTTGAATGGGGAAGTCCCAGTTCTGTGAATGAAAAACTTTCTGTGTGACCAGGAATATGGCACCTTAGTTACAGATGCTCTGTTTTCCACCCCCTGTGAAAATAACACCCCTTTGCTCCTTTGAACGTACAATCCTATGCACACACAGTAAGCCTGCAATAGTGGATAGTTTAACCATTAAGACTGCTGGAAGGTTTTATCTCATATCAAGTGCTTTTCAGCTCATACTGCAACGAGAATGCACACTCCTACCCCAGGGAAACTGAGCATGTTTGATGTTTTCCTGGGATGCCTGTTCCTGACTCATCCAGAACAAGTATGAGGATGCAGAGCAGGGAGCATCTCTCTCATGTTCCCCTGGGGTGTCTTCCACACCACTTCTTCCTGTGCTCAGACAGTTTTGGAAAAATTGTCTCAAACACAAAGCAGAAGCAGTCAGAATCAAAGTAAGAGGGATATAATTAGACTAAATCACAGTAGGAGGTAGCAGGGGAAAATGTGAAAATAAAGCAGTGGAGGTTTCTGAGCTGATCTTTGGTGTGGGGAGTGGGTGGGCAGGATGGGGAAGGAGATTTCAGTTCTGCTGGAAGTGTGTCAAGTTCAACCCATAAGTAAAACTTGGTTTTTCCTTTTGTAACAGCCATGCAGTAGTGAAAAGGCTTTCCAGTGGCAGAAATGGCCTGAAAACTCACTTGGGATTTGCAGATGGGAGTTGATATTGTTGAGAAGTATGGGGTCTAGAGTTTCTTCCAGAAGCTGGAGTAAAATCTTTGAACCAGGATTAAGGTGAAGCCTGGATAGTGGTGATGTTCTCCTTGGATATGCATGTCTATTCACTTCCTTCAGAGGCTGTGGAACAAACAAGATCTTGTGTCAGGTCCTCCTTAGACTCTCTAGTACCTGTAGCACTGCACTGAGAAAACGATGATAATCGAATCCCAGACTTCAGCTTTTCAGCTGATTGCTTGAAGAGACAAAGAAGGTCTTCCCTCCCCCAGCATATAGTTGGATAGATGCATTCCTGGCTTTGTGTCAGGATCATTTCGTTCATTTTGACACCTTCCTTTGAATCATCGGAGGCTGGCCATGCTGGTGAGACATAACTGCTCAGAGAAGACAAGTGTGTAAGGTCAAACAGGTTGGATCTGGGAAGGAGAGGACATTTCACTAGCCCCTGTTAGGTGACATGTCTGCTTACCAAACCTTAGGTGCCTCAGCTAGTGACCCTTGAAAGGGCTTATGCTGTTTTTCTGGTGTCTTGTATGCTCTGCTTCTCTTCTGAGGATTGAGTCTCCTCTTTCTGAAGTGCAGACATCAGCTCAAACTATCCTGAATTAAGCTTAAACATCTGTAATAACAGAAGGTTACAAGAAGTGACCAAATAGTCCCTTCTGGGCTAAAAATTTATGAAATATTTGGAAAACTATAAATCTGCTAAGGACCTGCATGGGTATCAGTGTGTGACATATGACAGTATACAGAAATTCAGTGTATCTTCTGAAAATGTAGGGAGTAGTACCCAACAGGCAAGATGAACACTGGCCTGAGGTGGCGATCCATCAGGAAATGCCAGAAGTAGAGCCTCCCACATGGAAGTTGGTTGGGCAAGAGCCTCAGTGGAACAGACCTTGTTATTTGATGTAAAATGCTTTTGTGCTGTGGTAAAGTGAATATACATACTTGAATGTGTCTTTGAGGCTGCCAGGGAGCAGTCCAGGTGGCAAGATCCATCAAAAAGCTAACGCAGTTGGACTGTAGAGTGTGTGAGATATGATCAGACATACACCCACATGTATTTTTACTTCAGTCACTGAATTAGTCCATCATACTGGTGTTCACGTACAACAGAAGTACACTACCAATAACTCCGTCAGTCCCCAAAATGTCACCTGTTTCAAAGCAGTTCTGAAAACAATACTGGTGCCGAGGCCTGTGATGTTTGGGCATTCCAGTGCAGTGGAACAAGGCCAGGGATTATTTCTAGGTTTGCTATCTGTAACTTACCAAGATGCTGAACACGTGCAGCATCATTTTGGGTCAGAGTTACCAGTCCTAAGCACAAGCATAAACTAAGCTTTAGATGCTTAGATACACAGTTAGATCTGTAACACATGTTTGTAAAGCAATTCCTCGTTCAAGTAGTCCTTAACAAGGAGTATGCTTACAAGTAATATGTTGCCCCAGCAAATCACAATTTCCTTTCTTGATCACTAAGAGGAAGCACCATAAATTCCGGTTTAACCTCATGTTTGTCTCCTTTTTCTCTTCAGCAGTGTCTAACATTCATCACATCAATACAAAAATATACAGTCATTTCAGAATTAATTAAATCTACTGACTTGCTCTTGACAGTCACAATAAATCTAGACACAACCTAAAGCTAGCCAAGACCAGGGCTTTTAAAGATATCCCTACATCCCAGAATTCTCTTCATAAAAACAGGTTTTGGTCATAGCTTTTTGTTTTGACAGTTCAGATCAGCAGTCTTCTTGTCTGATATATTGATTGTAGGGCATCAGTCTCCCTGATTTAATAAAATATCACAGCACAAGGGGAAAAGAAGGAAAGCTTTTGTGTTCTTGGCAACTCAGTGTGAAAGCTTTCCAGAATATTGCTTTGCACAGAATGAAAATGGCTGTGAGCCAATGACTAATTATATTAAAGGTCTGTGTTTTTAAATTATTTATGTACCATAGTGTTTACCCTAGTATTATTAAAACCACCACATATACTTCTACAAATAAGATTTTGGTTCAGATGAATGTGACAGTCGCTCTGTGGGTGATATACTGTACCAGGAGTTTCTACTTTAGTGTAACAAATAGCTTAACACACATTAACAGATGCATTACTCATGGAGCATTGCTGCAGAAGGAGACGCAGATGAAAATAATTTACCCCTGGTCCATTTAGACACAGCAGATTATGCAACAATAATAAATGTAGGAGCAGGCTGCAAAGCATGGTCTGAAATGAGGATTTCTCAAACTGAGGATTTAAAACTGCTTTGGGTCCAGATGGTCTTAACCAGAAACTTCTTTTGTTTGTGCAGCAATTGCTAAGCATACAGGAAGAATTAAATAACAAAAAATCCGAACTGGAGCAAGCCAAGGAAGAGCAAACACATACACAAGCGATGCTTAAAGTCCTGCAGGAACAGGTGAGTGCTTCTGGTGGGAGAAAATTGCTGTCTTGGACATGCTGGGGGGATGGAGGACTCATGGCTTCACTTCCAAAATCTGTAGTAGTCTGACCACTGACTGTGCTGTGAGCAAGGCATAACCTTATGTGGCCTGCATGTCTGCTCTGATTAGCATTTATGAATGCAGCTGAGGCTAAAGCAGAATTTGAGAAAACAGTGAAAAAGGACCCTTATTTTATACAATCCAATACTGGATTTCATGTCTTGAGTAACATTGCCTCTTATGCTATTCTACATAGTTATCAGTGATGTGTGTTTTCACTCTGAGTTAAAAATAGATGATGGAAGAGTTAAATATACCTGAAACAAAACAGCTCTTTTTTTTAAGACCAGTATTGAAGAAAAAGGACTTGGCATCTCCTGTGTTATTCATGCAGATAGGAGTATGAAAAAAAACTTTATCATAATGTCATTAAAAATGTAGTTATCAATGCACTTATTTCAGCAGTGAGAAACAAACCTCTGTAAATCTGATTATCAGACCTTCCTGGATACTAAGGTGTTCTATGACTCTGAGAAGTGTATTTGATAGTGTTGTTTTCTAAGCCTGGTAAGATGGGTAGTTACGCAGCAAAATGAAAATCTGGTGCTAAATCTGTAAGTCTGGAGATGAAACAGCTCATTGTGTGCAAGCACAGTGTGCATGAATACATGTTGTCTGTATAAACCGCGTGGCTTGGACACACTGAAATCACAAATCCCCACCTGTGCTGCACAGGCACAGTCTCTGCTTTGAGACCTTATTTTGATCCTTTCTATATAAACTTTGAGATAAAATGTTTAGTGACTTGGTTAAGTATTTGCAGTTTGAAGGCTGTGGGATCTGAACTGCGTAGATGGCAGAGATTCAAAATGCTGATGATTCTTCTGTTCAAGATTTTTCAGCGTGCATGTCTGCAGACAGATTTAGACATTCAATGTTCTTACGAGAAAAAGTAAATTACTCTTATTTCTGATTTTTTTAATGCTCATTATGAAAGCTGTGACATCGTTCAACATCTAACATTTGCCTGTGAACATATCTAGTGACAAATGCACACTAGAAACTAATTCGATTTTGTAAAAAACAAAGCTTTTATGTTCAGATACATGTTCTTAGCACTTATGGTTACAAAGATAACCTTCTAAATGAGAGCTGATGCAAGACTGTGTTACACAAAAGTCATGAGGCAGAATGGATTTTGTAACAACTGAATCTTTATGAACACAGAATCCAACAGATCTCTTGAGTTCATTGCATCTCATTTACATTTTTACATGAAATTCAAGGTATAGTGTTATAAGATACTTTTTTTAAAAAGAAGAAATAATGAAATTGCTTGAAGTTATTTTATATCTTGGTAGCAATTAAATGCTGCAAAAATATATGGGAAGTTCTTACAGTGCTCAGCCCCAGTAGGGACCACCAGGGCAGACTCTTGAATCTCCGCAGACTCCTACTAATTGCAAATCAAATGTGCGCTCATGCTAGGCAGACAGACAAAACAGTAGCTGGAAGAAAGGCAGGATGGATCTGCATTTCTCTTGAGAATTAGCTCTGAAACACGCCTAAGGCCAAGGCTGTAAGTAGCCAGAATTCCTAAGGAGTGCTACGCAGCCAGTGCACTTCTCCCACAACACTGGACCAGTTCCAAAGCTTTCCAGAATTGCAGAAGCCCTTGCAGTAATGACCCCCACTTGCCAAGGCGCACAGTTTTCCTTTACAAGCAGCACAGCTCATCTGTGTGTTTTATTCACAAAGGGTATTGAAAATCAGCTGGCAGAGTCAAGTAAATATGAACATTTCTTTAAAAAATAAATAGCACCAGGCTCCCGCCTCGATTTTATGGCTTGGTTTTGTGATAGGTTTGCTAAAATCTGCCTTTTCATCTCAAGCTGGCAGAGGGATCCTGCTTTGCCTCACCGTGGGCATGTTTGCACAGAGAGGTGCAGCTGTGTCTGAGCACACGTGCGGGCTCAGCACATCCCGCGCTGATCCAGTTGTACTAACCCAGCCACATCCAGGACGGGACATCCTGCTGGGAGAGGTCCTCTTTTCTCGTGCACCATGGTGCATTACTGTAGCCAAAAGGCTGCTGCATCACATCTGACCTGTGTCCACCAGCTCTGGTTATCAGAGGGTTTCGTGCCTGCTGGTTTGTGTCAGGCCTACCGCAACCACAGCATTAGCTGCATCAGAGACTTCTAATCGACTTCATTTCCCAACCCTTCTCCTTTCCTTTCAGTTAGGCCCTTGATTGTTACTGGCATTAGTTCAGTGTGTTGCCTCAGCATGCTTTTTGCTGGTAACATTGCGTTCACCACCAACTTGTGATGGAGCCTGCCTAGGGGGTTCTGGCTTTCCAGACAAGTTCTGGTTTTCCAATATCGTTTGTTTTTCTGAAGTTCCTATTCCAATATTTCACTATTTAGAATGTGAGAAAAGAGAATAATTTAAATTTTAATTTAGAAAAATACAATATTGGGAAAAGAAGGACTTCACCCCTTTAGCCTGTGTGAATGCAGCTTCACATTCTCTACCCACAAGTTTTTCACCATTACCTCCATCTGTTCACCTCCACCTCCTACTGCAGTGGTACTAGTGTAGATGTGGATACTAGCACCTTCTTGCCTGAGCTCTGGCATCCTTTTCAGAGCATGGCAGGCAATAATAGATGAAGAGGCTCAAACATCCTGTCTGCATTCGAGTTAGATTATCTGGTGGAGCAGTGCCAGGGCAGTGATGGTGGGAAACCATGGTGGAGTGAAAGCCTGCCAGACCAATGTAGGCTAGAGGCTGAGCCCACTCTCCCATCAAGCACACATGTGGCTGACAGGGGAGTGGTATGTCACCAGTAAAATGCATGCAGAGCATTGCCTAAGAAGCCAGCAGTCACCAAGGGGTGATGGCACTTTATCAGCCTGGAAAAGGAAAGGGGAAAGGTAAGTAATGAACAGCAGTCCCCGAGCGCTCAGGACATGGCATTAGCGTGCAGAGCAGTTTTACATGTCCGAGCATGCTCTTCTGACCCCATATTCAGATGAGTTATTCAGCTGAACTCCGCAGGACTGCTCACATGAGGTGAATTTCTATAATGAATAATTGGCAGAATCGTGAAATGGCTCTTTTGGTCACACTGCGATGCAGAAATACCTAACTTTGGTGGTTGTCTGGAAGTACCCACCTCAGCTCATTTCTACCAATCATCTTCACAGTGAGGTGGTTTCACAGGATGGCTGTTTTTTCACTGCAGGGAAAACATGTGGCACTCATTGGAAATGCATCACCCTGCTGTCAGTATAAATTGCAGACTTTTCAAGGGTATTGAAAGATTAGCATTGGTGAATTGAACCAGGACATCTGATGAATTTGCAGTCCTCAGCTCTCCCTTGTACTGCATTATCAGGGATCTCCACCTCCTGCCCTCTCCATGAGGACTGGTTTAGTGGCTAGAGCAGCAGTTCCCAAACCAGTGCATTTTACAGCCCTGTATATTAAGGTACAGAGAAACTATGGCCCGCTTACTTTAATTGTCAGATTGGAAACTGTGAGAAGTTGGGAACTGAATCACACACAGTTTAGCTGTTCTTGTCACCCAGCAAAAAGTTGAGGTAGCCTAACCGCCCTGGGATGGTAGTCCTCCAACGCTTCTGAGTCAGACACCTCATCAAAACATAATAATGTTCCTACTCACCTAGATTTTAGGACTTTTGTCATTCAGGATCACAGCTGCATCACCAAGAGTTACATCAACCCCATCTTTTTTGGCAAAAGCAAGAAATGTAGAAGGAAGTTCTGTTTAATGTCCCCTACCTTCTCTCACCTCAGATCCCCACCCCAGATATCTACTGTGAATTAAGTTAGAATAAAAGCATGACTCTTCAGAGATTTACCTAAAGAGTAAATGGTTTGGAGTGCTTCATTTAAGTGTACAAACTCCACAGACTCGGGATTGCTGCGGTGTCTCCTTCTTTCTGTGTTTGCTCAATCAGAGAATGAATGACTGCATATTTCACTGCGGCTCAAGACAAGTGCTAGGACATTCCTTAAATCTCTTGGGAGTGATTTTTACAATCCCCCATGCAATCCTGGATTTTCCCTAAAAAGCTCTTTTAGCAGGGAAAAAAAAATTGGTTCAGATCATATATTTGGAATTGGCAGCACCTTCTCAGTGCTTCCTGCCGCTTGTTAAATAAAAGAGCTGCTCGTTTCTTCACCTCCTTTTCCTCCATACCCAGAAGCCATGTCAGTTATTTAGATGCTTCCTCAGGAAGAAAACATACAGTAGCACTTTGGCATCTTAAACAGCTCAAAATATATCATTCAAAAGTAATCATTAGCAAAACACTATTTAGCTAGTGGCAACTTGCAAATATTGTAAAGTTTAAATTAATAGCAACAAGAATGGGAAATGAAATCATTTATTATTCTTGAGAGCCAATTCTGTACCCTTTTTATGCCTTGAAACTACTTTCTAATCTTATTATTTAAAAAATAATGACCCAGTCCTATTATTTTCCTTTTTTTTTTGCCAACCTATCAAGCCTTAAGTATGTTGGTTTCAAAATGGTTTGAGCAAAAACTCATTAGAATTATATGCTCCATCTGTTTTTCTCATTGGAAGCTTTATAAAATGCTTCTTCAAATAAATCAAAGATAACTGTGTGAAATACTCAAGTAATGTGCTTGTTTTGTTCTGTTTTGGTTTTTTGTGTTTACTCTTTCCAGTTAAAAAGCGCCAAGGAATTAGCAGAAATCAATGAGCATGATGAATCTCAGGCAAATGTAGGTACAGCTTTCTATGTATAGATTTATATAAATATATATGCATGCATATGGTCTCAAATTTACTATTTATGTCTTAAAGCTGATAGAATGGCTGAATGATTTGCCCATCAGCTTTGAAGTGCCTAGTTGTTGTTTTTTTTCCCAAAGTCACAGGTTCAAATCCCAGCAAACTTCATTTCGAGGTAGATAAATTGGGTTCCATGCAATTTACTTTGTAGGATTTATTTGGATGAGACTTTAACAACCACTGTCCTACTTGCTGTATGTGGGTATTGAAGATACCATGGAAACGACTGCAAGAGAAATGCTTTTCCTTACAGTCCTGTCCAGGATTATTCAAGCTACAGAGTTATAATGTTTGTCTCTGTGGCTGCCACCGTGCAGTTGAGCGAGTATGGCCATATTTAAGTTCTGAGCAAAGTGATTTGTATACATGCATATTTTGGACATAGTTACTTTGCACAAGAGGACTAAATTAACTCATTAAGTCATTATTTTGTCCAGAATTCTTAAGGGACTTGTTAAGGTCATGTTTTTTAAAACCTACCCCCAAAAATGCTTCTGTTATTCCCCTAATGATTGCAGCCAAAACAGCAATTTGGGTAAGGGGAGAGAGAAAAAAGGAAAACTTTCCTGTTATATTTGTCATCCAAACCATCCAGCTTTGTGCTTTGTCATAAACATAGGAAAATTAAAACTGATTATATGTGGTACCTTCCTCCTAGCCAAGAGAACTAGCAACAATCTGAACACTAATATATCTTAACATCTATTTTAGTCTAATGGCACAGCCAGAAAAGCAGTTTTCTTTTAAACCTGAATGGAAACCTCAAATTTTCTGAACTGCTTTGTGATAAGGAAATCTCACCCTCTCTGTTTTAATCCTTTCCTGAATCTCATTCATTGTGGTCTGTTTCCGCAGTGAAGTCAATAGAGCCTCATAGCTCTCAGCATTTGGACAGGAGACATTCAATATTGTCTGATAGCGCCAACAAATCTGCAATTGCAGTCTGTCTGCACAATGTCTCATTGCCCCTTTGAAAGATTCTGTTTGCAAACCAAAAATAAAGACATTAATCTAACGATGATCTTGAAATGCTCACTTTTGCTGCCTAAAAACTTGTCTTTATACAACAGCTGGTTGCAGGTTTACTAAAAGAATTTAGGAATGTAGGACTTAGAAACTTTCTAAAGGAACTTGCTTCCTCTTCAGAAATGTTGATGAAACAATGTCTTGCAGGATTGAAATGTTTTAAAGGAAAATTACCAAAATGCTTCAACTTTTATCATTCTGGCTCATAAGTAACTGTGCCAAAGAGAAGAGCCTGAAAGGTTTTTTAATATGATGTAAAGGTTGAAATAGCATTAAAATAAACATTTCAGTTGTGTAAAGAAAGTGTTTCAGTACATCATTCCCAGATATCTAAAGCAAAATATTTCAGAATCTTTGGTTAATGGTAAATTTTTTTAGAATGCAGTATTTTGTTCCAGTTTGTAATTGCAGGAAATGTTTAAATGCCTGAATTTTCCATAGGGTAGAAACTCTATTTTCTTCCTCTCTTTGCGATGAGCTCCTCCCCTAATGATCTCATAGCAATATTAGACTCCTAAGAAAAGAAGTCAATACCTAAATTAATGGTGAAAAGGGAAACCAGACAGCTACAATTATTGAGTCACAGTTGCAGCCATATATTCAACCATTATGCCACCATGAAATCAGAGAAGGAGCAGCAGCACAAAAGGATATAGAGAAATAGAGGGAAAGAATGGCTGTTAAAGCACTTGCTACAGTAATGAACTTTGTAAAATGGAAATTGAGGTACCTTTTAAACAATTGTCATTTATATCAAATACGTAGTGCTCAGGTGTTGTGCCCTGCAGGTTGTCTCTCCACATCTGTTCTCAGCAGACTTCATGGTTCTTGCCCTTGGCCAGCATGCAAATCTGGGATGATCAAAGAGAAAAAGGCTTGGTGACTCCTACGTGGTTATTAGTGAAATGTGATGCATATAATGGGATTAGGACATATTTGCTACAGTTGACTCGTTGAATTCAGCAAATTAAATACCTTTACATGCAGAGCAATAGTGGGAGGTGTTGGTAAGGAAAAATGGCGAAGTATGTCTGTATACTGAACACACAATCTAATCTTCACACTGTGGCATATTTAGATTGCTTACGTTGCAGAAAATCAGGCTCCTAGAAAGGACAGTAGGAAGCTTTAGGCACACTGCATACACATGGAGAAAGCCCACACTGTAATCTTACAAGGGTTGTTTTCTGCAGCCCTCAGGCTTTCTGCTGGTCTGCATCATATTTACATTAGAAAATATTGTTTCTTAAAACAAAACCGAGAAATATTTTTAGGAAAAACAGATACAGATGAAAAGATATACTTACACATATGCTGGTGTGTCTTCTGTATTTCCATTACGTGAGACCATCGTAGAAGAGAAATAAGGAGCTGGACAGTTTTGGAAAAAGAAAAATAACCCTCCTGAAATATGCCCAACATAAAAATGGACCAATCTTCAGGTTTTCCTCTTGGGTTTTTTTTGTTTGGTTGTTTTTTGTTTTGTTTTGTTGTTGGTTTTTTTTTCAGGAGAATTGAGTACAGTTAACTAAGAGGCTGGAGAATTGCAATGTTACCCTTCCTGCCATCTCAGTTCACACACAAATCTTGGGGGGGAAACAGAAATTTTAGTGTATTGCTGGTACCTCTGTTATTTCCGGAAAGCAAAACCATCTTACAAGGCTCTGTAAACACTCATAAGGGTGTTTCATGAGTGACTTGCCAGGTACTTGCAGTAATATTTGTTATGGCTGTTGACATTTCCCAGCTCTACTCTGTGTCAGGAAAGGCCAAATGTCAGGCACAAGTGGTACACAGAGCCCGAGATCCTGGTCTGGTGTTAACAGAGAGTTCAGCACCCAGGACTTCAGAGGTGCTGTCACTGAGCATTCATTTCCTTCAGCCCTGCGGTTAGGAAAAGATTGTTTCTTGCTTCTAATCTGCCCCCCTTTTAATTTCCTCCTCATTGCTGCACATAATGTTATTTAATTCACATCTCTGTCTTAAATGAAGATAAAATAATAACCAATGGACAATTATAATTTCAGATATAATCCTCTTCCAGGATGTTTCAGACTCTTGGGACCTGATTAGTCCCAACATGAAAAAAAAAAATACACTTGCTTGGGAGGTGTGCTCAAGTAAAGAACATTTTGCAAACTGAAAATGCTAATCACATGGTTTTTTGCTAACTCTGTAATGGCAATTTATTCTTCCACTCTTTCTGTAAGTTAATTGGCTTTTTGTGGAGCCTCTTGTACTAGGTTAATTCTGTGTTTTGATCAGAGATCTCCTTTTGGACAGTGCTAAATAGATAGGACACTGCATGCAAATAGAGCTCTATAGCCTTTGTGAAAACATCCCTGTCTTCAGGGTGGATAGGTTACCATCCGTGGTATCTCACTATTGTTAATGGAGAAGGGGAGATTTTTTTACATAAGCCTCTTCTTCCAGGAGTTTGGCTTTCTCTCGTGACAGCTACCTTCTTTTCTTCGATGGAGAATAGCTCCTGTGAAAACACATACCCATTGTAGAAGTGCCATAAAATGGTAGAATACCAGTCCTCCAAGTTCAGAGCAAAGGAAGAGATGGATCATGGTCCCAGGAGCACTTCGAGTGCCCAGATTGCAATTGCATGGTAAAATCCTGAGTCTGTTGAAATCAATAATTGAATTCACATCAGTTTTAATAAGCCAGGATTTCACCAGAAGACTTTTAGGGTTACTTCATTAACAGCAGGGCATAATAAATAAATATATTTCAGAGGGCAAAAGTGATTTTACTGCAAGTTTTTTACTACCTTCTTTTTTTCCTGTTTGAGTTTCACTGTTTGAACAAAGTGATGCTTTTGACCTCATTCATCTGTCTGCCTCCAGTTAGCATCTCCAGCAGCTTGGACACAATATTCTGTGGGTTCTTATCTGACATGGAATCAATAATATTAAGTAGGGATGCATTTTTCCATTTGAACTCTTGAAGCTGTTATCAGAGCATTTCTCAAGTTCAACCAAGCATCTTACATTTGATGTTGATTCTCCCTTTAATTTCTCCCCACTGTATCCGCTTTCAAGCAGTTACCATATGATCTCTGACTCTGAGGAGGAGTATACCACCGTATTTCAACCATTTTCCTAAATTGCTCACTTCATGCTACCCTAAAAGTGATGTTACTCCTAACCTACACCCTAGTCTTCTCTGTTCACATAGTACGGTTAATCACTGATGATCTTTACCGAAGACAAGCAAAGATAGCTCTTAAATGAGGCTCATTTTTGCAACAAGCCAGGCAAAGATTAAAAAAGCTAACCTCCCCCCCAGACTCCAATTTTTTGAGGTCTGTAATTTCATCAAACTCATCAGAGTTCAGTTTTTGTACTTCACTGTGCAAACCTTTAACAGAAGCACCAACGGGTACCTGCTGTGAATGTCCCACGTCAAATGGGAGCAAGCTGGAGCATAGGAGGCTCAACCTGAACATGAGGAAAAAGTTCTTTACTGTGAGAGTGACAGAGCACTGGACCAGGCTGCCCAGAGAGGTTGTGGAGTCTCCTTCTCTGGAGACATTCAAAACCCGCCTGGACACATTCCTGTGTGACCTAGTCTAGGTGATCCTGTTCTGGCAGGGGGGTTGGACCGGATGATCTTTCGAGGTCCCTTCCAACTCCTAATATTCTGTGATTCTGTGATGTCAGTGTGCGTCTTAGTACACACCTGCAATGGAATGGGGTACCTCCATGCTGTGAGACTGCCTCCCATCGAGTCAAGTGAGATGAAAAGTACTCTTGAGCACAGGGAGAGGAGAGGGAGCTATAGAGGAGTGCAGCACCTGCTCAAATAATCCCAGTGGTTCGGGACTACAGTACCTAAGTTGGTTGCCCTTATTGACGATTGCCGATGCTTTTGCTTCACTTCTTTGTGAGTGCAG